GAGAAGACCTATCATTATCACACGAAAAACGGGGCACAAATTCTCACCTAAATGGGATGGTCCTTATGTTATTCAAGAAGTATATTCAGGCGGTGCCTACAAGTTTGTCGATGGAGATGGCTCAAAGATTGGCCCGATCAATGTAAGATTTTTAAAGCTCTACTACCCTTGATATTTGGGGTATAGATATGGCCGTAAGAAATGTTGAATGGATTAAACCACCAATGATGTTGTAAGTGGCTAAACTGCTAAAACATCTCACTTTGTCTATGGGTGAGCATAATCATAGATACTCTTGGCCCACGAGAGTTTAAAATGTGTACGGCAAGCTCTTGGCCCACGAGATTTTAAAATGTGTACGACAAGCTCCTGGCCCGCACGAGTTAAAACTGTGTACGGTCCCTTTAAATTACCAATTCAAATGGTATATATGAACTACGTTTGACTTGATCTCCTTCATAGGAGTACGTAGGCAGCTCAAAAGTTTCATTTTTGAGTTCAGTTATAACAACACAAACCCTCAATAAAGTTTGATCTCAGTCACTTTGAAGATGAAAAAAAAGAAGCAAGGTAATATCAACTCATGAAAAGCAACAAAGGAAGCAAATATCCATATATAGTTTGATAAGAAGTAAGGAAAAGAGTTGTTTGCTGACTAAAAGCTAATCTAAGAGCTAAGTATCAGCCTAAAAACAATTTAAAGCTAACTAAGTCGTCCTTCGAGGCCACTAGCTCCTTCTTTTGAGTACTTAAAGCAAGTTGATCTTCATCTGATGCTTTGATAGTCTTCAAAATCCATGAAGATTCCTTCTTAGCCTTCGTAAGAGCTGCATCTAAGTCAGTAGCCTCTACACGATGCTTGGAGATCGAAACTTCTACTTCCTTAGATTCAGCTTCCAATAAGGCTGTCTTCTTCTTGATATCATTAAGAGATTTCTCATCATCAAGTAATGCCATTTGGTTTTGAGATCTCTGAGCTTCAATATCTTCACAAAAGGCCTGCGACATAGCCAATTCCAGAGATTGTTTCTCAGAAGGAACCCTATCAGCAATAGTCGAGCACGTCTAATCAAATGCTTGCGCCCTTTCAAAGAAATACTTCACTCTCATCTTCAACATGGAAAGGTCAATGCCCTCCTTCTCCATCAGGATAACACAATTCTCAACACTCTCCCGAAGAGGAGACATTCTCTGTTGTAGCCCTTCCTAACTTTTGTTGAATGTCACTCCAAGTATTAATGATGAACTGCTTATACAAAGTAAAGAAGTAGTCTTCTGCATGGAATACAGATGCAGCCGGTTTCGCATGAGGAGACTTGGGTATTTCATGAATTAGAACTTCTTTGCAATAACTTGGGCCGGTTTTTGCTATCAATCCAACAACGGTGTCATTATTTGCGCTTTCTCCTTCACTTGAGCTAGATGAAGAAACATGATTCGAAGAACTAGCATCATCAAGGACTGCATCAATCTGCAAAAGAAAGAAGAAAATATAAGTACAAGCTTCAAATAAAACTATGAAATAATGAAACTAACCTTCAGTGGCCCAACATGAAGTTTCCTAAGATGTTTCCAGTTCCTCTCATCACTACTCTGCCTTCCATTGGCGGGAGACATTTCCTTCTCAGCATCCTTGATCAAAACTTCACCTCTAGGTACTGCAAGCTTAGCCTTTTTCTGAGGCAAAGACTTAGCTTCAGTATCAGACATTTTTTTTCTTCTTGGAGACTGGAGTCACAAGATCTGAAGGGGTGACCACATCGCCTGCCGCAAGATCGCAAATCTTGATCAAGTCGTTCACATGATTCTCCAGATAACTTCCATGGACTTGAACCCACCATTCTTTATACTGCAATGAATAAAATTTCGCTGGAATAGTAGGAGGGGTCGGAAATACCGCTTTAGCCTGTGACAAACCATGCTCAAACTGTTGCCAAAATCTAAATCCAACAGCAAGCGGAACACGACGGTCCTGCTTTTCAAGCAAACCGGGAGCGTAAGCTTGAAAATAGCCAAACTGTCGACTAAATCGATGAGTGTAATTCTCAGCGATACAGTAATTTTGATAGCGGAATGTGAGGTAATTAGACCGAAGGCTTCTAAAAAGTGGCAAATCAGCATCAGAAAGATTTTCCCCATCAAAAAATGTGTAGTCTTTGACCCTTCTATGCGTAGAACATACCCAGGACGATACGTCGCCCTGAAAAATCCTTCTACGCGCCCCTCTTTTCTCAAGAGACCTTGCTCCACCTTCTCCCGAGTAGGAGATCATTAACGGGGTCGTGGACTGGATATCATTCTTGAAATGAGTATCAAATTATGAAGCCAACCATCCGTAAACGTAGTGAATAGGAAAACATGTTCTAACTTGATCCGGAGATGGAGCCTGTGAGATCTTATTAAGCCCATGGTAAATACTGGCAAGAACGGGAACCGCGAGACATATTTTCCTTCCACAAGCCATCATACAAGCAACTTTACAAATTTCCGGACGGATCACCCTTGGACCTTCGTGGGGCAATACAAAATTGCAGAGCCAACATGATAGGAACTCTGCTAAGTATACCTCTTCCTCATATTCAGCAGGAATCTTGAGTATGTGGAACGACACCTTCATAGAATTCGACCACCCGCTAAATATTAGAATCACTCCGCTTGGGTTATGTGTTGCTTTAGCACGGGACGTTCTTTTCGTCTCTGTTCTCGATGGAGGCATAGTGTACTTTGAGGCTTTGTTAAACCAGAATTTGACCCATACATGAACACGTAACAAACGTTTGTCTCCCGTCTTTGGAAAAAGATGATGGTATGCGCCAAATAAGTATTTGCAAAGCTGAAAAGGGCGGTCGGCATTCACCATCAACATCTCAGAGGCGCTCAGAATAGATTCGTCATATGCATCTCCTATTATTGGTAATCCCCCAATAACGTGCAAGTCCCAAAGCGTGATCGTCAATTCACCAATTGACGTAAGTAATGTATTCACCGTAAGGCACCACGCTTCACAAAAGGCTTGCATAGCATTCGTACACCGATCATACGTAAACAATGAGGCATAAACAACATCATAAATAAGCCCTTTCGTTAGAACATTTTTACTCATGCCCAAAACATCTTCCGCCCACTCCCATTAACCGATGATAAATCTAAATTCACCACCAAAAAAATAGATTTTTGGTGAGAGAGATGCTCTCATCAAGGATACGTCTACCCAAAGAAGGGAGAATGTTAAAAGAGGGTTTTTGGGGAAAGCCAGATATTAGAGTCCGCAGAGTTTGATCTTGATACTCGCACTTGGGAGTCCAGTCAGTAATACGATAAGACACAACAGTCGCAGGACAGAGACCGCGCGCAAAGGGTTTGCAAATCTCCAAATGGATCTCGTTACCATTAGTATTGCCCGTTGAAATAGAGAGAAATCGTTGACCTTCATGCTTTATATCTTTGAGGAACACCATTTTGTACTGCAAAAAAAAGTTAGAAAGGGGCGAATCAAAAAATGAGGAATTTGTTGACCCTCAAATCAGGTCTTTAAGCTACTCTCAAGCACCCTAAACCCTTGGGATTGATCCAAAATTTATAAATAAAGGCCCCACACCAGTATTTCAAAATTAATAAATAAACAAATACGGAGGAAGAGTTGGTGTGCTCTCAAATAAGCATGACAGAGGATAAATTAAGTCAATCTCCTTGATTTCTCCTAAACCAATAGAAACTACGGGCAATTATTTCTCAGTCTCTCGTCGTTGGCTGGCTACGACAACAAAAAAATGGTCTTAGTCTCCTTCACAATACACACGCAGAAACAATACCCTTTCTTAAGCTTGGGATGACTCCTTCATCTTATGCATAATGGGACAACCTCTTTTCTTCTCTCCTAAAAAAGAAATCGAGATAGAGAACAACCCACAGAGATATCAATTAGCCAGCTCGTCAAATTTTGGATTCCCTCAATGATGGCAGCGGATCTCAGAAATTTTCCACACAAAAAAGCGGGTCTTCAAACCGAAGAAGTGGCCGGTCTTCATACCCACAAAATAGTGAGTCTTCACACAGACGAAGTGGCCGGTCTTCACACCCATCAAATAGCGGGTCTTCAAACCGACGAAGTGGCCGGTCTTCACACCTACAAAATAGCGGGTCTTCAAACCGACGAAGTGGCCGGTCTTCACACCTGCAAAGTAGCAGGTCTTCTGTATCCTCGTGGCAGTAGATACTCCAATGGGTCCTCATATCCAACAAAATTTTGGCGAGCGACAACAGCAACTCGACATCCTCTTATCATTGATATTCGACCGGCGATTTCCTGCCAGCGACCAGCTTCGGTCTTAAGCGGTAATAGAAAATGGCGTTCCAATCTGCGAACAGCAACTCCTCCCAGGATTTAGACGGTGAGCTCTTTACCTCCTCGACGCAGGTGAATTAAACCCGAAAAATGTTGGTGATTTTAGTATCACCAGGTTCATTTTAGTGTAACGGAATTTACAGATTACCAATGGAGTTCAAGTTTAATTTTAGACAAGTTAGGAGGTGTGGAGCGCACACTTGTACGAAATTAAATTTAAACTTGGTTCGATTAAATGGCGGGGGTCAAGGGGGCTGCGCCCCCTTGCGGGGTCCAAGGGGCAGCGCCCCTGGCGGGGTCCAAGGGGCAGCGCCCCTGGCGGGGGTCTCGCTATTATGGAAATATGGAAATTTATTTTCGGATAAACATGTCCATATTAATTATTTAATAGAATGACTTTCTGTTAGAGTAAAACTCTAACCGATTGGCCTTATCTCTTTGGTAATCAGAAGAATTCGAGTTCTACTAAAACTACTAGTTCGTGGTCTATATATTGGTGCCTCAGTTTTAGACTGTCTCTCAGAGTGATTATCCCCATACTCTAAATTTCGTGTAACCCAGGCATAGGGTCGAAATATTAGATTCGGAAAGTGATCACACGATACTCTGAGAAATCCGCCAGATTTTCTAAAACAGTTTCCCAACTCCCCAGAATTAACAATCGAATCTAATATTTTTTCTTGTTTCGGAAAATCATGGCTGAATCTGTAAAAGAGATGACTTCCAAATTCGACAAGTTGGAGAAATTCCAAGGAGTTGATTTCCGTCGCTGGCAAAAGAAGATGCACTTTCTGTTGACCACACTGAAGGTGGTTTACGTTCTGAGTACGCCTATGCCAGCGTATCACGAAGATGAAACTATTGAGCAGTCAAGGCGTCGTTCCAAGTGGGAAAACGATGACTACATCTGCAGGGGCCATATTCTAAACGGTATGTCTGATACTTTATTTGATAGTTACCAAAACGTGGAGAGTGCGAAGGAATTGTGGAATTCACTTGAGTCCAAGTATATGGCTGAGGATGCTTCTAGTAAGAAGTTCCTTGTTAGTGATTTTTATCACTATAAGATGATGGACTCAAGACCTGTTATGGAACAATACAATGAAATTCTTCGCATTCTGGGCCAACTCACTCAACATAATATGAAGATGGATGAGTGCGTCGTAGTAGCGATGATAATTGAAAAATTACCACCAACATGGAAGGATTACAAGCGTGATCTGAAACATGGGAATGAAGAGTTGTCTCTGTTACAACTCGGTAGTCACATACAGATTGAGGAATCACTCCGCATTCAAGAAGGTGACAAAAATAAGGCAAAGCCTGATGTTGGACAGCCTACTGTCCACATGGTTGAAGTAAACAAAAACAATCAAAATCACAAGGGAAAAGGCATCAAACGCAAGAATGATAGCCGAGACAAACCAAATAAGAATCCTAAGGATCTGGTTTGTTGGAGATGTCAAAAGACGGGTCATGTTAAGCGTGATTGTCGGGTGAATCTCAATAAGAACAATGTTGCAAATAGTGGTGGAGGAAACAGTGGTGGTGGAAACAGTGGGCCTAAGGACTCTACTGCATCTAGAGGCGGTCAGAATCTTTCTAACCCTCTTTATAATTCTACTCAGAATTATTGTTCACTAATTCCTGGTTCTTTTTATGTACAGGATGATGACCGTACATGGTGGGTTGACTCGGGTGCCACAAGTCATATGTGTAAAGATCGTCGATGGTTCGAGAAATTGACACCAGTTGATGATGGTTCCACGGTGATGATGGGTGATAAGTCGAGTCAACCAATTTGTGGCTTTGGAGTTGTTAGTCTTACGTTTACTTCGGGAAAAACAATAAAGTTGTCTGATGTTTTATTTGTTCCTAGGCTTAGTAAGAACCTTGTTAGTGGTGGTTGTTTAAATTCTGATGGCTTTAAGCAAGTCTTTGAATCGGATAAATTTATTTTATCTCGATTTGGCACGTTTGTTGGTTTTGGTTATTTTACTAATCGTATGTTTTGCTTGAATTTGGTTGATACTTTATCTTCTGTTGGAAATTCTGTGTTTGTATCATCTGCATCATTTACTTCTTCAATTGATAATGCCATGCTATGGCATGCTCGTTTAGGTCACGTTAATTTTAGAAGAATGCACGAAATGTCAAAAGATGGATCAATTCCTGCCTTTGATATCAATATAGAAAAATGTAAAACTTGCATGTTGACCAAAATCACAAGACAACCTTTTCAAAATATTAATCGAAATTCTTGAATTTTGGAATTGATTCATAGTGATCTTTGTGATTTTCATTCAACTCCCTCACTTGGCAACAAAAATTATGTCGTAACTTTTATTGATGATTCAACTCGGTTTTGCTATGTGTATTTGTTGCATTCTAAGGATGAAGCCTTACAAAAATTCAAAATATACAAAACCGAGGTGGAATTGCAATTAAGCAATCCGGTTAAATGTCTTAGAACTGATCGGGGAGGGGAATATATGGATACCCAATATTTCCAATCAGTTGGTATCATCCATGAGACCACGGCACCATATACACCACAACAGAATGGTGTTGCCGAAAGGAAAAATCGAGTTTTAAAAGAAATGGTCAACTCGATGTTGTCTTACTCAGGCTTGAGTAAGGGTTTTTGGGGGGAGGCAATGCTTACCGCATGTTATGTCTTGAATAGGGTTCCAAATAAAAGGAACAAGAAAACCCCATATGAATTATGGTTCAAAAAGTCTCCAAATTTGAGTTACCTCAGAATTTGGGGTTGTCGGGCAGTTGTCAAACTAACCAATCCCAAAATAAATACTTTGGGAGAAAGGGGAATTGACTGCATTTTCATAGGATATGCTGAAAATTCCAAGGCATATAGGTTCTATGTTATAGATCCTAATAATTCGGTTTCTGTACATACCGTGATTGAGTCGCGAGATGCGATTTTTGATGAAATGCGTTTTTCATCAATCCCAAGGCCTAAGGATCTGATTTCTAACAGTAATGAAGGACAAATTTCAGAAACTTTAGAAGGTATATCAGATCCGGAACCCCAAGAGGTCAGGAGGAGCAAACGGGCTCGAATTGCTAAAAATTTTGGCTCCGATTTCCAGCTGTATTTGGTGGAAGGATCAAGGGATGAGGTTGGATTTCAATACTCGTATTGTTACAGTATTGAAGGAGATCCAAAGACCTTTAAAGAGGCCATGGAATCCCGAGATGTGACCTTTTGGAAAGAGGCAATTGATGATGAATTATCATCAATTTTAGAAAACAATACATGGGTGCTATGTGATTTGCCACCGGGTTCTAAACCTTTGGGTTGCAAATGGATCTTCAAAAAGAAGATGAAGGTAGATGGAACTATAGATAAGTTCAAAGCACGTTTGGTAATACAAGGGTTTAAACAAAAACCAGGTATTGATTATTTGGACACATATGCACCAGTGGCCCGGATATCTACCATTAGATTGTTGGTTGCTTTGGCAGCCATCCACAATCTGGTTGTCCATCAAATGGATGTCAAAACAGCCTTCTTAAATGGAGAGCTTGATGAGGAAATTTACATGAACCAACCAGAAGGTTTTGTTATGCCCGGTAATGAGCATAAAGTGTGTAAGCTTGTCAAATCCTTGTATGGTCTGAAACAAGCACCAAAACAATGGCATCAAAAGTTTGATGAAGTTATTTTATCAAGTGGTTTTAAGCTAAACCAATCTGATAAATGTGTTTACAGTCGGTTTGATTCAACCGGGTGTGGTGTGATAATTTGCCTATATGTTGATGACATGCTGATTTTTGGCACTGATCAACTTCAAGTTGATGAAACGAAAAGTTTATTGTCATCAAGGTTTTCCATGAAAGATATGGGGGAGGCTGATGTAATCCTTGGTATTAGGATTAAGCGGTTGAACAAAGGAATTGCTATGACGCAAGCACACTATGTTGAGAAAATTCTCAAGAAATTTAATTATAGTGAATGTTCTCCCGTGAGTACTCCCATGGACCCTAGTGTCACATTAATGCCAAACAAAGGCAAGGCAATATCACAATTAGAATACTCTCAAGCTATAGGATGCTTGATGTATGCCATGACAAGCACTCGTCCGGATATCGCCTACGCGATTGGGAGGTTGAGTCGGTATACTAGCAATCCTAGTACTTAACATTGGCAAGCAATTCAGAGAGTATTCAAATACTTAAAAGGAACCATGGATTATGGAATATGTTATCTTGGATATCCCTCGGTTCTAGAAGGATATACTGATGCAAGCTGGATAAATCACCTAGAAGATCATTCTTCTACAAGTGGTTGGGTATTCTTACTTGGGGGAGGTGCCATTTTTTGGGCCTCTTAGAAGCAAACTTGCATTACAAATTCAACAATGGAGTCTGAATTTGTTGGTTTAGCTGCTGCCGGTAAAGAGGCAGAATGGCTAAGGGATTTGGTTTTTGAGATTCCATTATGGACAAAGCCAATTGCACCCATTTCTATTCGTTGTGATAGTGCTGCCACGTTGGCTAAGGCCTATAGCCAAGTGTATAATGGGAAGTCTAGACACTTAGGTGTTAGACACAGTATGATTAGGGACTTAATCATGAAGGGTGTAATTTCTGTTGAGTATGTGAAATCACAACAGAATTTGGCGGATCATTTAACTAAAGGTCTGGCCAGGGACTTAGTGCACAAGTCTGCGATTGGGATGGGTTTAAAGTCCATTTAATTCCATAATGATGAGACACCCAATTCCCCTCTAATATAATATTAGAGGTTGAATTCAATGAGGAAAGCTCATACTTAAGGAATGGAACACATGCATTTTGTCATCCCAGGTTAGTGTGTTCGGACCTGTAGTAAAAGGGTTGAATATATATTCTTAACAATTCCTTTGTTAAAATGTAAGCAGGTACATGATTAAAGGAATTACCTATATGATCGTGAAGTGTAGCCGCACTTCGAAAAGTTGGGACTTGACTTTTATACGATTATGAATGGATTGGGACACTCGGCTTAATAATAGTGTCAAAGTTTTGAACTAGTTGTTTCTTTGAACTTATGTGTATGTTATCTTCATGTATTCAAATGGGTTGAAGGGTTCAATTCTTAGAACACCCTGATTCTCGAGTATTTGGAATGTGTAATGTACTAATATGAAAATTCAATCGTTTCGATATTTTCATGTATGCATAAGTTTGGTTGTCTCTTATTTTTGTTTATGTAGATTCATGGTTACACTAAAATGGGGGAGGATTGTTGGTGATTTTAGTATCACCAGGTTCATTTTAGTAGGGCTGGCATTTTGAACCGAAAAACCGAAAACCGAACCGAAAATAACCGAACCGCATTGAAAAAAAATCGAACCGGACCGAACCGATAATTTTTGGGACCCGAAAATCGGGACCCGAAAAAAAATCGGTTCGAAATCGGTTTGTACTCTCAAAATATCGGTTTGGACCGAACTGAACCGATTTTTTTATTAATAATAATAATTGTTTTTATTAATTTCATTTACTAAATATACAATACCGTTGGGAGAGGATAGTGAACGTATCATATGCCTTGGTTCGCCGGTCGCGTAGTGTTTTAGCCATTCGGTTGGTCACAGGTTCGAATCCCGCGTGTGATACTTTTTAGGTTGTGATATGCTTGAAGCTTTTTCTCTCTCTTCTGTGGATTTTTCATCCCACACCGGAAACAAAAGGAGTTTACTCCTCAAATGCTTCTATATAATAAGGGATGACCTCAAACTTGTAGATGTGCCTGAATGGATCATGTATTCCGGTCCTAGACTATCAAAGTGGACTTTAATGTACTCAAAAATCTAAATGTCACATTTTTGGCTCATGGAATTGAATTCTAGTTCAAGTTTAATTTTTTTTAGTGATATATAATTTGTTTTTGATCGGTTTTTGATAAACCGACCCGAAAAACCGGTTCCCAATAAATTGGGACCCATTTGATGATCGGTTCGGTTTCGGTTATGATATTTGGAATAACCGAAATTTCGGTTCGGTTTCAAATTTCATTGGATCGGTTCGGGACCCGAACCGAAACCAGCCCTACATTTTAGTGTAATGGAATTTACAGATTACCAATGGAGTTCAAGTTTAATTTTAGACAAGTTAGGAGGTGCGGAGCGCACACTTGTACGAAATTAAATTTAAACTTGGTTCGATTAAATGGCGGGGGTCAAGGGGGCTGCGCCCCCTTGCGGGGTCCAAGGGGCAGCGCCCCTGGCGGGGGTTCGGGGCAGCGCCCCGGACCAAAATTTTATTTTATTAAAGAAATAAATATGGAAATTTATTTTCGGATAAACATGTCCATATTAATTATTTAATAGAATGACTTTCTGTTAGAGTAAAACTCTAACCGATTGGCCTTATCTCTTTGGTAATCACAAGAATTCGAGTTCTACTAAAACTGCTAGTTCGTGGTCTATATATTGGTGCCTCAGTTTTAGACTGTCTCTCAGAGTGATTATCCCCATAATCTAAATTTCGTGTAACCCGGGCATAGGGTCGAAATGTTAGATTCGGAAAGTGATCACACGATACTCTGAGAAATCCGGCAGATTTTCTAAAACAGTTTCCCAACGCCCCAGAATTAACAAAAAATCCATATTTTGGTGCTCTTCTCAGCGAACAATTGGACAGAAACCGACGACGAGGAAAGAGTGGCAGCTACAGGACAACAGTCTCTGTAAGGCTACGAACTCATACAGTGAATAGGACAACGGCTTCTCTTAAATTTGGAATGCCGGCTTTCTTCTTCCTCAAATCGGGCACCCACCTATGAATTGGAGCTGCTCTCCCATACCGATTGGTGAAAAACAGGGACGCAAATAGAAAGTCTCCAAGTTTTCTCACGGCTGGTTGCCTTTCAGATATTTTCCCTGCAATACGCCAAAAGAAGAAAGCTGAATAATGATGAACAAAGTTTACCTGCTGATTCTGCCTTCGGAAGCCTTAAAAAACTCGTGTCAGTTGTGTGTTGAAAGCATAGGGATGCAAAAGAAAACCAGCCGCGTTGATATTTATACACCGATGGAAGAGTTTGGATCTCA